TTCATTGTGCCAGAACATCTTGGAGGCTCCAGGCAGTTCCAGCACAGTGACAAATATCTGGAGCTACCACCAGCATCCCTCTACAGCCTGAGTGCCAAGTTTGCAAGAGCAGGTTTGAGCAGAAGACTGGGCTTAGAATCTCAATTCTATCTCCAGGCAATGGGCTGGCTTCTGTGTTTTCCCCTGGAAATATGGTGGAGTTTCTACTGAAATCCTGCTTCCAGTGAGAGAATGTGTGAGAAGCAGCACAGATGCCTGGGACAGCATCTACAATCAAAGACTGGATATGCCATGTATTTAAAGGCAGTTTACATTTACTTTCTGTTTACAAAGGTGGGAAATCCGTCTCTCATTTCATCATTTAAAAAAAAAAAAAAAAAAAAAAAAACTGCTCGCTCTCCAGGAGCCTGGGCACAGAACAGAGGCTTCTGGCCAGGTCAAGCACTGTGCTCCAGGCTGTGCAAAGACTCTGGCCTTCTGTGTTAAGACTCACAGTGGAGGCAAACAGGGCACTCTTGGTGTTCAAAAGCAGCCATCCAAGGAAGCACACATTCATTTCCTCACTACCTACCCAGGCTAGGCTTGATTTCCACTGCTCCACAAATGGAATGCTACCCCCTGCTTGTGTTCTGTATCTAGCCAGGTCACAGTCAACAGTGCGGCTTTACTCTAGTTTCCTTGGGGGGAAAGAGGGCAAGCATCCTTCTGAGAAGATGTAAGTAAAGTACCTCATATGACACGAGGGTCACAGATAATGCATGATTTTTATGGAGACTCAATGCAGCTAAGACTGCCACTGTCCTGGTCTCTCTACCCAGTGACCATATTGTCACCACGTCTGAAGGGACATCTACCTATACACTAGTGCTTCGCCATGGCTTTTCCAGAATTCACTCTGAACCTGTGGTCACAGAAATTTAATGCAGATCATGGTGGGATCTCCCACTGTCTCCTGAGGATAACATCAACTACAGATCCTGTATGTGCTCAGCTTCTCTTCATCTATTTACCACGCATTCATCCATCCACTCACCAGTCCACCCACCCATTTATCCATCCATTCACTCACCCACCCACCTACCTCTCATCCATTCACCCACCCACCCACCCATCATCCATCTATCCCCCTCCTACCTCCCTATCCATCCATCTGCCCACTCACTCCCCATCCACCACTCCATCTATCCACCTTTATGAGTCTATACCATGAGAAAAAAACATGTCAGATACTCAGCTAAAATACATAGGAAACACTAAAGCTGGGGACAATTTAAAACAATCTTAAAATTTATAACTGTAGGGCTGGAGAGATGGCTCAGAGGTTAAGAGCACTGACTGCTCTTCCAGAGGTCCTGAGTTCAATTCTCAGCAACCACATGGTGGTTCACAACCATCTATAATGAGATCTGGTGCTCTCTTCTGGCCTGCAGGCATACATGCAGGCAGAACATTGTATAAATAATAAATAAAATCATTTTAAAAACTTATAACTGTAATTCTAAGCATGAATTTTATAGAAATCAAATATACTATGAAATTCTGTTCTCCATTTGTTTTTTAAAAATAGAAACAGAAAATTTAAACTTTTTACTTTGTGCTCTTTTTTTAAAGATTTTATTTATTTATTATGCATACAGTCTTCTGTCTGCATGCCAGCAGAAGGTACCAGACCTCATTCAAGGTGGTTGTGAGCCACCATGTGGCTGCTGGGAATTGAACTCAGGACCTCTGGAAGAGCAGTCAGTGCTCTTAATCACTGAGCCATCTCTCCAGCCCCTTTGTGCTCTTTTGTAAAGTATTGTATTAGAAGCAACTTGGGTTTACATTTTAGACTAGATCAAATTTGCCAAAAAGATACTCTGAAGGTAATCTAAACTGGATTTTAGCCACCTTCCATTCTTTCAAAGGGTACAGAACACAGTGGGCAAAAGCTTTCTCACTAGCTACAACAAACTAAAACTAACTGATTGATGAAACTACAGGACAACCAACAATTGATAAGCTCATGACTATTTATGAGTAAAGTGCCACTAACTTCATTATGATGTGATATCAGGAAAAGAAACCCTGACAATGGCTGGTAGCTGTAATGCTTTTCCTCCACCCTGAGAACATAAGGACCCTACCACATGAAGGAATGCTGCCAAATGTGAGTTCTGGAGTTCCACAGGACACAGGAACACAGGAGGAACAACAGAGGCAAACCACTGTAAGTATAACAAAAGACTCAAAGTGGCAAAGTCATGAGGTTGATGCCAACAAGTTAGGTCTTAGTGCTGGTAAAATAGAAACAAGAAAGAAAGGTAAAAGCTTCTTAAAATTACTAATATGATAGCGAGTCACAGCAATGGGCACTTAAATATTACATAGTAAATGCTCAACAAATCCAGAGGATGTGCAGAAGCAACATCACACTGTTAATACAAAAGTTACGAAAACTACAGGCTAACACCACTATGTGGGTGCAGAGATCACACACGCTCCTAACACACTTCCATACGGTGCCCTGGCTGTCCACCTGGTGCCTGGCCCTTGTGACAGTCAGACCAGTCATTGTCGTCAAACTTGAGTCATTACCTGAGTCACTGTACTCCACAGCGATGCGTCTGGACAAGATTGTGGCCACATCGTTCCCGACAGGCTCCTCCCGTTTGGCTTCCTGCTCAAGTTGCCACTGAACCTTTTTCAGCTGGATTACTGAAAACACAATCAGTCTCTTTGCTAGCTCCCAGTGAAGGAAAACCAAACAGGTCTCCCTGTTTCTACTGAGTTTACAAATACAAGGTGGTGGCCATCTGAGGATGGAGAGAATGTATGTGCTAAGCCTACTGCAGCAATGGACACAAAATACAACCTTCCGTACAACTGTGTGGGAACACAATATGCAGGGGATAAACACTGTTATTATTTTCTCCATAAACATTATTCAAATGCTACCACTAAGCCAATCTGTGGTGATACATTGTTTATGATCTAATAAAATTTGCCTGAAGATCAGAATGCAAAGCTAGCCACAGTCATAGAAGCCAAACAGTGGTGGTACACTTCTTTAATCCCAACAGCCACACTAGTTAGCCATAGAGGCTGAGCGGCAGCAGTGGACACCTTTTATCCCAGCCCTAGAGAGGTGTATAAGACAGGAGCTCAGGGTCTCAGGCTGCATTCAGTCTCCAGCCACGCTGAGGACAGGATCACCCCAGCCTTGGTAGTGGTAGTGGTTGTCTACTTTGCTTTTCTGATCTTCAGCTTGAACACAAATATTTGTCTCTGGGTTTTTTTTTTATTATTATTCGTACTATACCAATCTACTGGGGGCATTTTCCATGGCTTAGGATCCAGCCACCTCCTGCCCCATTTGCCTGCATTTCTGGTAAACTTTAATCTGGACAGTATTTTGATCTCTATATTCACAAGCTTCAAGTCTGCAGAAAACGGAGATGGCCTTTCGGAGCATGGCAGGCTCTGGTTATGGACTCACTGGACTGGCCTCGAGTGTAAAAAGAGAAAAGGGTGCAGTTTTAATAAAGTAAGCCAAACTTTCCAAATTAACTCAAGATGCCCAACAATGAACTGTGATCTGTTTGCTAGTAAGTTATCTATGCCAAGAGTAAGTCACAGGAAAGACTATGAGACAAAAGCAAGTTTTGACAAAATGACCCACCTAGCTCTGTTCTGGTAAGCTAAGAGAAATGAAACCTTATCTAGACGATGTGCGCACACAAGTAAAGTATCAAATAATTCCAACGACCCTCGGCATCAGGCCATGCATGGAACAATCTCATCTTAGATGGTAGGGTGAGAAGCATTTCAAGGGTTAAAAAAAAGTCCACAGGTTTTCCATCTACACATGCTTAAATTAGAGCATATATAGAGTGAAAACAGGTATGTGCTTTGCATGACAAAATTAAAATTCCAACTAAGTTATCTGTCAAAACAACAAATTGACGCTGGTGAGGACTCTTGGGTCCCTGTATCCCTCCCTCACCTTAGGAGCAGAACTGACACTGACGTTCAATTGTGAGCCTAGAATCCAAGCTCCCAGAGTTCTCTGAATACTGTAGGTAGCAGGTGTGTAGAAAGATGACCTGGGGCGTGCCTTTTCAGATCTCATAGGCCTGGGCAGGAAGCAATATCAAACGCACTGCAACAAGTTTAGACTTGTGTCCTAGCAAACACCCACCTACTCCTTGGGTAGGTAGAGACTGCTCTAAATGTCGAGGTTTTTTTTTTTTTTTTCTTTTTTTTTTTGAGAGGGAAGAGTATTTATTTTATTACAGGAACTCGTTTGTTGCCTTCTCCCATGAGGTCGGCAGTGGCAGACTCAAGCCAGCCAGCCAGCTTCACTTTTTCTTGGGCTCCTTACAAGCCACCACGTACCTCTAGGCCACATTGAGAGGAGGGGAGTAGCCGTCCTCATAGGAAGTGTCTTCATACGGGACTGAGTAGTCATCCTGAGGCTGTAGAGCACACACAGGAAGGGCTGGTCAAGATGCTTCTAGGCCAGGGCAGCCCCTCCTTGCCCAGAGCCCCAGATGCATCTCCCTGCCTGCCTCTCCTACTTTCTTCTCTGCTCTCAAGTCAAGGGGTCTGGTGCTACTGGGAAAGCCTATGTTTAGGAGATGAAGGACAACAAGAAGGCAGCAAGCAGGCAAGCTGAAGAATGATGGGGACCAACCCTTAAGGTTCTGATGTCATCAAAGGCCTTTCATGGTGGCTCCTTACCCGCTGTGGGGGTGTGTGGATCAGGGCATGGTGGTAGAAGCAGGTGGTCTGGGGATATAGGGCCAGCACCAGCTGCTCCTTCTGAAACAAGGCCTCAGGGTCTGTCTCAGGGTTAGCTTTCCACTGGGGCAGTGGGATGATGCGCCTGCGACTCAGGGTGTGTCTCCTGGGGGAACAATATAGGCCGTGACCAGGAGGCTTCTCCCAGAAGCTTGGTGACTCTCCACTGCTCCCCAAAGCTGGAGTGGTGAGAATGCAAGGTCAGGCACACACTCACTTGTTGGTAGCATGGCTGTAACTGACTACTTCAGCTAGGATCCACTGCTCATCCCCATCCACAGCCTTCACTCTAGCAGCCACCTTGTCTCCAGGTTTGGCCACATAGTCCCCTGAGGCTGGAATGGCTCCACAGAGGGGTGGGGGCTTGTCACCAGGCTTCCCGATCCAGAGGGGCAGGGTCATGGCTGACTGCTGCAGCAGTGTTATCAGCACGCCTCTGCGCATGGTCTTCCGTGGGGGCTCCGAGTCATTGTAGAGACCTGCGATCTTGGCTGCTTTCCGCCTCTCTTCCAGCAGAGACTTGATCTCAGCTATCTTATCCAATGCTTTTCAGAGGATGTTGCACTCAGCCTCTGCATCAGCCTTGGCGGTTGTGTAGAGGCCACGCAACTTTGTCCGGTAATAAGGAGAAATCTTGTTCTCAGTCTGCATTCGCTCGTGGGTTTTCTGGATGTTCACCAAGTTGCGCTCACTCCTTGAGCATTCTTCCTGGGTTTGCTTGATCAGCTGATGCAGCTCTGTGAGAAGCTCTGCAATTCGGGAATCAGCAGACACGAGGGCCATGGGACGGGCCTGTGAAGGACATCTGTGCCCTGGTTCTTCCTTCCTGGATGACCTGTCCTGTATAGTCTGGAGATGATCTCTGTCAAGTAGGAGCAGCAATGCAGCAAAGCACCATCAACGGATTCTCAAAACACCTATCAGAGAGGACTGGAGTAGTCCAACGAGTCTGGGGCAAAAAAAGCACATCCGCGCTGGCAACTGCGATGGCGGGAACAGGAGAGTCGCTGGAACGCTTCCTCACAGGGTAGTATCGCACTTGTGTTCGAAGGTTCGCGGCACGTCAAGAACCACACACGCTCTTATCTTTTTTATTTTTTTTTATTTTTATTTTTTGGTTTTTCGAGACAGGGTGATTCTCTGTGTAGCTTTGGAGCCTGTCCTGGCACTCGCTCCAGAGACCAGGCTGGCCTTAAACTCACAGAGATCCTCCTGCCTCCCGAGTGCTGGGATTAAAGGCGAGCACCACCAACGCCCGGCTGCAAAGATCTTTTAATAGATATATTTTACAAATACGCTGGAGAATCATGCAGTAGTGCCTGCACTGGATGCAATCCTGGGCCACAAGCCTGCACATTCCTTTGCAACTGGACCTGTGATAGCAGAAACTTTCATCTCATCTTTATTGTTTACTATGACTGCTGCATTGTTTTCAAATAAAGAAACACCCCATCTTTTCTTCGATATGACTTTTGTTGTCGAATTACCACTGCTGAATAGACCTTTTTTCTTAGTTCTGGTTTGCCTTTTTTGTTTGCTTTTTGAGACAGGGTTTCTCTGTATAGCAGCTTTGTAGACCCAGGCTGGCCTTGAACTCAGAGAGATCCGCCTGCCTCTGTCTTCTGAGTGCTGGGATTAAAGGCATGTGCCACTGCCACCCAGCACCTGGTTTGCCTTTCTTTTTCTCTTTCTTTCTTTCTTTTTTTCTTTCTTTCTTTCTTTTTTTTTTTTTTTTAGATTTTATTTATTTATTATGTATACAGTCTTCTGCCTGCATGCCAGCAGAGGGCACCAGATCTCATTCCAGGTGGTTGTGAGCCACCAAGTGGTTGCTGGGAATTGAATTCAGGACCTCTGGAAGAGCAGTCAGTGCTCTTAACCTCTGAGCCATCTCTCCAGCCCCCTGGTTTGCCTTTCTTAACGGTGGCCATCACCATGTCACCCACATGAGCAGCAGTAAGTCTGTTTAGTTGTCCCTTGACTCCCTTCACAGAGATGATATACAACGTTTTGGCTCCTATATTGTCAGCACAGCCAGAAGACCCAGGGAAATCCAGAATTTCACTCCAGAGGACCCACCACATCCTCATGTTAGACCCCCGGAAAAACTCAGGCCTCCGGGGTCTCAGCCCACAACACGAGGTCACCCCAATCACCAGGTGGATTCAAAAGCTTGCTGCAAACTGCATGAGGCTTTATTGTTGTTTAACAAGTTGACCCCATGTTAGCTTGGGTCTTTCACCCACCCGCCATGGTGGATGGCTAGCAAAGACAGCTCGTAGGGGCTGCATAGAGATCTTATAGGGCAGGGTGAGGGGAATGTGTAGGGGTACACACAGGCTCAGGATTGGTGTGCCTCCAGGCTTGGAGGGCTTGCCCTCTGTTGATTGGCTAATTGGTTGTTATGGCCCATAGGCCCTCCCAGGGTGGTTGCTATGCTCTGTACATCATTGCTGTGCACTTGTCCTTAAAGCACACCCAGAGCCGTAAAGCATAGCACCACCAGCTAACTTCTGACTAGGACAAGGTCAGACAAGCATGTGTTCAGCTGTTATGGCTGCTGACGGGGCAGGCATCTGACCTTAGTGACTAAGACAAGGTCAGACAAGCTGTTATGGCTGCCGGAATGGGGAGCTGGTCCCTTCATTCCCCCATTTTTTCTTTTTCTTTTTTTTTTTTTTTTTTTTTTTTTTTTGAAAATTCCAATAAGAAATTTCTGTTCT